CAATTTATCAGTCTCATAATGGGTTTGGAGTAGATAAATTGATAATTCATGACGTTTCTGGGTGGTGGCTGTCACGATCATAATGAGACTTTGTGAAACGAAACCCTGTGGTTTTGCGTTCCCATTATCCAAAAAAACAATAAAACTTTGACACTTCAGCCATACGTGCTCATGTGCACGCACAGTACTGTGACAAACTGTGAGTGCTTTGAGATTAAGACTAGTCTGCATGGCTTGACCTTGACCAAATGGCCCACTTAGTTGTGCAGATTGTGCTTTAAGTTTAGGTTAAACCACACATGCTGGAAGTGATTCTCAGAGGGAGCTGTGTACATCTGGTAATGAGATCTTTTTTGTGTGTCTACTCTTCCTGCCTGTTTTTTTTTTTTTTTACATTTTATTTCTGTGCGACTATTGCTTTTTTATCTTTGTGTCCCTGAGGCTGACCTAGACACTTCATTGACTCAGGCTGTGTGGGTGGATCTCCACAGCAACTGTTTATGAATACAACAGTCTGTTTTTGCTCATGTCGAAATGACGGAAGCCATTGCGTAACCACATTAAGAGTGCTGCCAAAAAACTTGGCAGGCAGAATTTGTTGCATATCGAAGCCAGAAAAGACTAGCTGTGTGTCATGTACGCAAGGAAGAAAAGGAACAAACGTTCGAGGCCCCCCTTCACCATTGATGACTAATAAGCAGGAACACGCGAGGCGGACCTCCAAATACAGCCACATTTCCAGACTCTTTCCCACGAGGCTGGCCAGAAGGAAGGGGATAATCTCTGGCTGTGGATGATGGCATCCGGACTGAGTGGAAATGACAGGAACTCTGCCTCCCAGTGCCTGTTACTCAGTGTTTTCGCTGAGTTTGTTTTGTTTGTGTGGAGGACTTTTGTCTCGCGCCCTCCGTTTCTGGCGAATGCCCTGTTTTTTTTTCTTTGTTTTTTTCCATCACCTGTATCTTTTACTATCTCTGTGCCAAACACAACCCAGAACTCTGAATGGGGTGAGCGTCCTGACCATTTGAACTCAGTGCGTTATCAGTGTCAGACACACAGTGAGGTCACCAAGAAACGAAGTGTATATTTGACTGGACTGTTAACACCAAACTCTATATTGTTTCAAGACCAAGAACAAAGAAAATACAAAAATGGCTACAACTTGGCCACTTTTATAGATGTTGAACTAAAATTCAGTGTACTTAGAAGCTGCCTTATCCCCTATATTCTTACCTCTAACAGATTGCACAAGATCTCTGTTTAAATTCTGCCATGTGGAGTCAACTTTGCCTGTCTTTTAGCAAAATATCTCATGAACCATTTGGCAGAGTCTACTGAAACTTTCAGGAATTAATCAGTGGTTGTATGTAGGGGTGTAAGAAAATATTGATACACTGAAATATCGCGATATTTCATTTCCCGGTACTGTATCGATATTCTAAAGCCCTGTATCGATATTTTATTAAGGTTTAAAATGTCAACTTTCCTGCCAGCTATTCATTTTTGTGTTGTAGTTCAGCCTCTGACCACTAGTTGGCAGCAGTGAGCCAGCCATTTGGCTCCTCTACCTCTTGAGCGCCAGAGAGTAAGAGCATTAGCATTGTGAGTAAACATTAGCTTAATGCTCTGATAGCTGAATCTGAGCAGAAAAGACAGACACCCTCTGCCTTCTAAGCTGAGGTAAGGTTACAAACAGTTACTTA